TCAGGAAGAAATAAGTGGCCAGGGAAGGGGCACTGCATGAGGAGTGTGCTGGCAGGAAGGTGCCGGAAAGGAGCTGTGGCCCGCTGTAAGCAGTGACAGGAAGCAGCAGGCCAGACAGAAAAGCACTGGGCTTGCTCCTAACTCCCAGAGCACCAAGTTTGAGTTTGCCCATAAAGAGCTGGCTGCTACAAGACCAGCACATCAAAGACCAAGGTCTCTAAATGTGGTGCTTGGAGGTTGCGCTCCAGCCAAGGGGGTGGTTGAAAGGTTTGGAGCTCAGGCTTTGACCAGCACTGTTTCTGCAAGGTTGCCTGGACTTTGGAGTCCTGGGTGTTTTATTTCTCTGACCTTCGGTGTGTCCTCTCTGAAATGATACTGTGGCCTCTAAGGTCCTTTGAAGCACATATTAATCATGTCTTTTCATTCATTGATGTTTTGATATCTTAGGGACCTGTCCCCTCCCTGACCTGGGAGGTCTGGGCTGGCTAATTCTCAGACAGCAAATCCATTCACCAGTGTGTAGGAACATGGCTTTCATATGCAAAGCAGCCAATCCTGAGCCCATAGTCCTGGCCACCTCCTTAATTGGCCCCTCACACTCCAGCCACCATCACCAGTTAGTTAGTTCATGAGGGTCAGCCCACCCCATAGCTCACAGTACCCCAACCAGGCAAGACCCTGCCTTAGCCCTCCTTCTGTCCTCCACACCTCTCTGCCCACTCACTGGCCCTGGTATCCCAGGGGCCCCCATAATACTGTGTGCTCCTCCTCTCGGAGCAACCCATGTAACAAGCCCTCTTTCAATAATTGCAATCACCTCGATCTATGGACCTGTCCTATGTGAATAAGGATGAGACCCACATTTCACAATGCAGCAGCAGTCCTACGTGGAGAGTCTAAGGAGTGCGCTCTGCCAGGCAAGTAGGGCTGGATCCCCAACTGGCTAACTCTGGCTCAGCTGGGTGCCCCGTAGGCCAGCAGGGGCCCCAGGTTGGGCCACTTCACCTCTTGGAAACTCAGTGTTCTCATTTACAAAATGCAGACATAGGGTTAAATGTCCAGCGTGTTGTCCAGATTTGAGATGCTTTGATCCTCCTCACTGTGGTCCTCTAGGCACATCTGACCCCAACATTTCCCATCTATTGGTCAGGCACGATTTCTTCCTTCTCCCTCCTTCGTGATCCTATTGACCCATAGTGGGAGGTGCTGTCAGAAGGTGCTTTGTAAACTGTAAAGTGCAGGACCACAGAGGCCTGCTATTAGCATCATTGTTGGGTGGGAGCTTGTCCCTGACTGCAGGTGAGTAAGACTTTCAGGGCAGTGGTATATGATTTAGCAAATTATCTCTTCAGTGTGCTAAAGAGTCCGCCAGGAGTTTGCTCACTGCAGGATGAGGAAACAATAAGGCCTCGCTGTATTCAATAACAGTGGCTTAATTATCATGATTATCTTACATTTGTATAAAGTCTTTGCTTTCAGGATCTCAAAGTACTTTATAAACATTAAGCCTCTTGGTTCCCCAGGGGAGACACTAAATTGATGCACGAGCTTGCAGGTCTCTCTCCTTTTCTTGGCTGGAAGGTGGTTTCCTACCACCCATGTGCGGAGAAAGTGGCATCTTAGCATCTATTGTTGTGTGATGTTCAGAGTCTGAGGTTCAGGGAAAGCTCAAGGGCCCAAAGTGAAAAACCCTAGAACAGGAAGAGCTCCCAGTTGCCGAGAGCCAGTGATGTAGACAACCAGACCCTGGGTCCGTGAAAGATGATTGCGGCAGGAATTCCCCTTCACTGCCCAGGTGAGGAAACCCCGGCTCAGAGGGGTTGAGCTGCATGCTGAGGACCACGCAGCTGGAGAGATGGAGACATAGGTAAGTGGGACATGGACACAGATTTGTCAGTCTCTTAAAAGCCCCAAATCATCCTTCTGTGCAAGGCGCCTCCAGGGAGCTACATACTGTGGATCCTATCTGATACTTGCTTTTATGGAATCCAACTGTTTTTCTACCACCTTGGCCTTCAGATTTAGCAGAACAGAGAAGAGGGTGATGACTTTTCCAAGTGTCTGTAACTCATCCTACTGCTACTTACAAGTTGCCCTTGTCTTAGACAGCTCGAGGCCCTATGACACAGTACCATAGCTTGAGAGGCTTATAAACAGCAGAAATATTTTTCACATCCTGGAGCCTGAAGTTCTGAGATCAATGTGCCAGCACAGTCAGACTGTGCTGAGGGCCCTCTTCAAGCTGCAGTCTGCCACCTTCCCATGGTGCCTTAGGGTGCTGAGAAGGGATAGGGAGCTCTTTAGGGTCCTTCTTATAAGGGCACTAATCCCGTTCAGGAGGGCTCTGCCATTGTGACCTAATCACCTCCCAAAGGCCCTATCTCCTAGTACCATCACCCCAAAGGCTAGAATATCAGTACATTAATTCTGGCCAGACACACGAAAGCATTGGGTCTGCTGTGCTCCAACACTTAGAAGTTTTGAACAACCATTTCATGATGTTCATAAATTCTACTGATTATGAACTTGGAACAGGTATACAGCTGGCAGCTCCCCTGTGACCATGATATCTAACACCAGACTTCTTATGTGGCCACTCAGGCCTTTCCTTCTGTAGAACACTCTGTAGAAGGTCAAACAGAAACTCCTCGTTTTCTTGTCTTTTTGACCAAGTGCCTGAACTCATACATGGTGACACCTCTTGTCTTCTGCTAGCTGTAGTGATCACTCAGCCCAGTTCAGATGAAAACACTCAGATGTTGGCAGGACAAGCTCTGTCCAAAGGCTTCACACGAAGCACCCTTTCCTGTCTCTTTCAGCTGGTGGTAGTTCCAATTCTTTGGCTTGATGATGTAGTAGTAATCTCTCCCCGCACCCATCCAGGGAATGTGTCCAATGCATGCTTTAATTTGGAGAACCAAATTTGGATCTAGCATCATGGAGGATGGCCAGGAAATATTTAATGAATGAATAAATGCATTGATGTATGGTTGGATGGATGGGTGGGTGGGTGGAAGGGTGGATGGTTAGATGGATGGGTAAATGGGTCGAGATGATCTCTTTCTTCATGGGTAGCCAAATTGCTAATAATGCAGACTTTTCTCTATGTGAATGGATTTTTTTAATCCTTTGTTTTGGAGACAGTTGATCATAATTTTGATTTATATTTTGAGAGCCTGATGAGGATTTTCTAAATTGCTATAGGGCTATAGGGGTGGTTGAACTCACAAGAGTCTTTTAGCACTGACGCTGGGTGTTTTCTTTTCCTACCTAATCTACTTCTGAGACTAACAGGTGCTTTTTGGATTAATCATGTTTTAACAGTCTGCTTTAGAGACGTGACTGCTCATGTGGCCACAGTGCTGGGTGATGTAACAGGCACATTTGCATAGCCCACATCTTCGTAAACACCGTTCCTTGCCATCATGGTTTGAGTTAGAGAATTTCTGTGGCAAAGTGATTAGCTGCAGGGGGCAAAAAATCATTCCAGTGAGTACTGTTTTTCCCTTTGATACAACTCCAAATTGATGTTTCTATCTCATTGTTTTTGTATTTGTTTTTTAACTTTATCTAAAGATTTTTTAAAAATGAGAATTACTTAACAAAAGGCAAACTCCAACCACTTTCTTATGTAAAGCTGATGTGACAATGCGAGTGTCAACAAGAGGGCAAAATCTGTCTCAGGGAAATCTTGAAACCTCTAAGTGGAATTTGCATAAAATAGTTCTGGTATTATTATTCGCTATTCTTTTCCTGACAGATATGTCAAGGTCTTGAAACCTAAAAGAACAATTATGCTATTGTACCTCTCTGAGGATTCAAGGGGTGTGTCTTTGGTGGAAAAAGTGCTATTAGAGCTTTGAAAGCTGCTCAAGGCAGCCCAAGGGACTCTTTAGCTAGTCATTTTATAAAGAATGCCTCGGCTTTAAGTGTCTTAAAGTACGTTTATTCAACTCGTACTTTGAGTTAAAAAAAAAAGCCCGCTAATAATTAATGGCTGTACATCTTTTTAACATTTGCATTAGCTATAAATAAAAGCTCGAGATGAAGTCATCATTGATTAAGTTTAACTATGATTCTTTTCAGATAGGTCCCCTATCTCTGTCAAAGGTATTGCAATAAATGATCTGTAAGTGTTTTTTAAATTATTTTTTATTTACCCAGCATTGGAGAAGACGTTGCTGTCGCCAAAGACAGAGCAAATCAGGAACTAATCAGTAAATCCTTTCCTTGGGCAAGCTGGTTTAACTCAACGTGTCGGAACATTATAAAATGACACACTGATAAGGCATGACCAACTCACTGCAGCTGGGCGGGGTGCGGAGGGCAGTGATCTGACTCTAATTTCCTTTGAAACCTGCTGATTATGTTATTCTCTAGTTCAGCTGGGCTTTGCTGGAAAAAGGCAGTGCCAACTTTTGATGGGAATAGTTTTGAAATTCAAGAAAGGCACAGAATCCGTCTGTCACCCATGATGATAAGTCAGTATCAAAAATGAATGAGCCAGGGAACTTCAAGTCAAAATGCTGCAAAGACTGTAGGATCAGGGAAATTTTGACTCTGATGACCAAGAACTGTTATTCGCAGGCATGGATGGGTGCTCTGTGTTCCTAACAAGCTCTACAATGGTGCTCATTTCGTATACTTCACAAATTCCAAAGATGATTATTTGTTTATTTGCATTTATGCCCCCTTTCACTTACTGTTTTCTCAGCACTGGGAGGAGCCCTATCTTCTCCTCTTATTTTAAAGATGAGTAAAGACAGGTTTGGAATGGGGAGAACTCAGCTTGAAAAGGGGGAGAGGGCTAGGGTGGGCTGCTAATTGTCCCCAAAGCCCATGATACATCCATCATCCATGGCTACAGAATCCTGGTAGCACACAAGGGCTTCTTACTTAAAGCACATCTTATGGTTCTTAGCTAAAAAGTCCCACAAAAGGCTCATTGTGTTGAAGACTTGGTTGCCAGGCGATGGGCTCTGGGGAAATTGATTGGATCACGAGGCAGCTGACTTCATCAGTAGACCACTCATTGACAAGTTCATAGCTCAATGCGCTTACTAGAAGGTGGGGCCTAATTAAATGAAGCAAGTCATGGTGGGGTGAGGCTTTGAAGGGTCTCCTTCTCCCTGGTCCCTTTCTCTCTGGCTTTGTCTTTTTCTCTCTGCTACCTGGCTGCCATGAGCGAGCAACTCTACTCCATTATTTCCTTCTGTCATGATGATTCTGCCTCACCGAGGGCCTAAAATCAATGCAGCCAGCTGACCATAGGCTGAAACCTCTGAAACTGTGAGCTAATGTAAACATTTCCTCCTTTAAATTGTTTATACCAGCTATCTTTTCACAGTAATGGAAAGCTAACTAACATACCACATGTCCCACAATCCCATGTTGCTATGGGTGACCATGGGAAAGGTTCTGGCCAATTAGATGTAGAATGGCCCATGAAATTCCTGGGGAACCCCTCATTCCTCATCCCTCTGAAATAGGACCAGGCATTTCAGAAATGGAAGCATGCAGAGTCTCTATAATAAAGGGTCCTCAGCTCCGTAATTTCCTCTTTCTGACTGCCTGCCTCCAAAGGCAGGAGGGAAATGGAACTCTGTGTAGTTAGGATCCTATAGTTTGAGGTCTTTGCATTTCATCTGTACTTTATGTTAAGCTGATATAATAAGTACTCTATGGGTTCACTCGGACCCCAGCAATGTGCTAAGTGCGTTCTTAGGGTCATGCGTTTCCAACTGTGATGGCATGACAGTTAGAGTCTTGGTGTCAGTAACTGACCAAACTCTATTCCCACTGGTAGACAACCATGTCATTCACTTACAATGACTCGAGACAGAATCTGACACTTGATAATGTTTTCTAATAGATCTGTGAATGAATACACAATATACAGGGAAGCAGACAGTCAATCTACTGTACCACACTGTACCATGGATGTCCTCGGTGGAGAAGTCCAAGTCTGAGCTTGCAGTCTTGGCCTGACCCACATTACAATGCGCTGTTTGATGATATGATGATTCATTAAATCCCATAAATCAGTATCTCTCCTCTCCTTCCCTTTTTCTTTCTGGTCTAGTATCTCAGTACGATGGAAGCAGGACAGAAATCTTAGCTCTTGCTAACTGCTATTTGGTTGGAATTGCTATATTGTCTTGACATATGTTGGAGTCTTTAATAGAAAAAAGAATTGATTTTTAAAAGTGGCATTTGCATTAAGGGTTATAAATGGCCAATTTGGGCAGCGAAAATGTACATGGGAAGTTATGTGCAAATGTTACAATGAGCATAGCCCATGAAGTAGACCTGTATGACTGCTGGGAATACACACTTCAGAAAGTCACCATGAGCATTGTGTCCATGTAGCCAAGGTTGACAGGTGAGCCAAAGGGTCCCTTTCCACCAGGACTATAGGGGATCTCAGTTTCTTGGGGATTTCAGGTATTTTTTTCTAAAAGTGTTTTTCTGATATCTTGAGTTTTCAAATACTTTTGTCATAGTTTTGGATAGATTTTATTTTTATTTGATTAATGTCTGACTCCTTTAAGAATATCAGTGTTTTTTTTTTTTTTTTTCAATCATACTGCACTTAAGGAGTGGAAGGCAGAGTCCCAGTCTTACTAGCTCTGGAGCCTGTGCTATCTGTCCTCACCTGATGAGGACCTCCCTTCTCTCCACTGACTTAGTGGGCCACCCCTTCTTAATATCTCCTACATCTGCATAAAGCCACTGGACCAGGATCCCATGAATCCTTTACTTTGCTATCCATCTAACTACTGTCTACTCATCCATCTCAGTGGTGTTGGGTCCAATGAAACACAGAGAGATGGAAAGGATACAATGTTCCCTTTCTCCCCTGCAGAGCTCCCAGTCCAGGGAAAGATGCAGCCCAGGAAAGTGGCAATTCCAACATGATGAAGTACGGACTTGTAAGGCTGGTCAAGACATGCATGGGGAGACTTCAAGACCTAGGAGAAGTTCACTAGAGAACGAAGAGACAACTAGAGGGAAGGTGCTGAGAAGGCTGGGGGTTCTGAGCAGAGCATTGGAGAAACAATTTCAAGACAGTGTCAGAACATGTTGAAATATCAGAAATAAGACTTGAGAGGGAACACAAACACTGACTTACAGGTGTGGATTTCAAAATACTTAGCAAGCTGTGATTTTAGTTATTACTACAGCTACTAGTAGTAATAGAAGTATATGTCCAGGACAAAGAGCTCTTATTTTCAAAACCCGGCTGGTTGGCTGTTCTGGGTACCCACAATATTTCCCTCTGGCCCTGAGATTAACATCCATAGATAGATGTGGATCCTGGGTTGGAGGAGGCATAAGTCAATGATTTATGTCCGTAGATAAGTGGTTCATTCATTTTTTCCTTTTATAATAAATGCCACTCTAGCAATATATTCCTGTTTCAAAGAAATCATTAGAATACAAATTAAATGGCAATGAAGGGACTAACTTTTTGATTCTTACGATTCACCACTCAAATATAAGGGTTACCAGTCTACTTGTAGTATAACGGACATTGAAAATAGTAACAATAATGGTAATAAGCAGTTGCATAGCTTTCACCGCTGGCCAAGCATGACTTTACCACTCATTTGGGCTCCCCTCTATCCCTAGATCGATAGCATTGCTACTCCAGTTTTACAGATGGAGAAACTGAGGTGGGGGTTGTTCAAGTCACTTGCTTGCTCTCATCCTGAGAGAGGTGACCAGGATAGGGAGCCCATATTTTCTGATGCCAGGCTTCAATCTCTCTGTACTGCTGCAGAGAGATGCTCATGTTTTGGCATGTGTCTCCATTTTCTAGAGCAAGAAATGAAGCTTGGCAGCCTGAGATGAGAACAAGCCCCTGGCTGTGCATCTGGGAATGGTGGAGCCCATGGGATGATTTCTGTTCTTCTTGCAAATTTCAGCTTTCTTAAAATGCAAGATCTATGTGACTTCATTAACATGAATCTTGCACATCACCTGGGTGACTTTTATTTTAGGGAATGGAAGTCTGGGCCCCAAATTGGTCTGACATTTTCCACCTGAAAAGTCTGGGGATTTGTCAGTGAGTGGGTGTCGTTTGCCCTCTGCCTTGCCTTCTCATCCTCTGACTCATCTCTCAGTCTCTCTTTCTATTCCTAGCCTCTTCACTCTCCCGGCCCCTCTCAACCACATGGCTGTGAATGTTTCCACCATCGGGCTGGCTGCCCTTCTGGGGTAGTGGTGTCTCCTTGACCCTGAGAGGCTCCTCAGCTGGGCCTGCTCATCTTCCTGTCTGACAGTCTCCCCGTTCTGGTGTCAGCAGGTGCCTGTACACCACCCCCCCGCAACCTTTCCAAGCTCAACTTTGAGCAATGCCAGTCAGGCAAGGAAGTGTTCTGCTCTGATAGGAAGTTGAAGCTATATTGAGTGAAAGGAAATGAACTTTTGAGTAGGCCGCAGTGAAAGCTGAACACAAAATTTCCAGGTGAATAAAAATTAGTGAGGTAAATGGGAAATGGGCAGTCACTGGAGTCTGAGACCTTCACAGGAGAAGAAACATATAAGAGGTTTTAGGAGCCCGAGGATACAGGGTGAACAGAAAGAACCCCAAGAAGGCAGGGTGTGGTGGTGCACACCTGTAATCCCAGCACTCAGGAGGCTGAGGCAGGAGGATCGCAGCAAGTTCGAGACCAGCTTGGGCTACACAGTGAGTTCCAGTTCAGTCTCAACTACATAGTGAGACCCTGTCTCAACCCCCCTCCCCCCAAAAAAGCTCCAAGATTATTAGGTACTACACTATGTGTGGGTACAGAGAAGCCTCACTGAGTCCAGAGCCCTTGCTTCTAGGACACTTTTTGCCCCTTCTTGGATGTGTGAATCCAGGTTTGTAGCTGTGTGGATTAGGCATCCTTCCCCTTCAAAGGGCTTCCACGTCCTTATTTGTAGAATGAATTACAAGGTTAGATAAGACAACCTTTGCAGACCTCCTTGGCTTCTATTATTTTTAGTTACATTGGCCTTAGGCAAGTTCTCCTTGAAAGATCATTTTTATGTGAAGATTTATTTGTATAAAGTCTATAGATATTCAAAGTTGAACGTTTAGAAGAAAATGGAGAATGGGAAGAAGAAGGAGAAGAATAAGGGAGAAGAGGGAGAGAGAAAGGAGTGGGAGAGGGAGAAGGAAAGACGAAGGGAAGAGGAGCAGAGGAAGGACAAGTAGGAGGGGGGAGGTGGAGGAGAGGAAGGAGGAAGAAAGGAGGAGGAAGGAAGGAGAAGAAGACAGCCCTCCGCAAAGACCTAGCATTCATGTGTCTTTATTCAGTCTTCTGTATGTAGTGGCTTGGCTTTTATGAAGCTGGTAAATGTTCATGAAACCATGCAGGGTAGGTTTTGCTTTAAGAGTCCTTGGTGGTAACATCATAACTCATGCATTTGATGCAAATTGCTGCACCCTCTTCCTGTATGCGGGGTATAATAAGGGAGCACAGTCTGTCCATGAGGTGTGACAGAGCCACTACTCTTCTGCCCTCTTGGCCTGCTGAATTGCTTCTACCGAGCAGGACCTGCTGGGTGTGGTGGCAATCCAGTGCACAGTTGGGAGGGTAGATGGAGGGATCTTTATCATGCTGTGGGCAACAAAGGATGAAGACTCACCCAGGGAAGAGCAGCAATAGGGGCTGGTACAAGGCCTGAAGGGGCAGAAAAGGAAGTAGGGTACAGAATTCAGAGAAAGCCTTGAGATGGGGGCCACAGGCAGCACTGGCAGGAGGGAGCCTGGATTTGCACTGTGCACCAGAGGGTCCTCCATCTGCCCCTCTCCATTGTGGTTTGAATCCAGCCCACAGATTTATTACCTGTTCCCCAACTGCAGCAACATGAGATGAAACAGAAAGCAAGTTCAAGGGTAAGGGCAGAGAACAGATGTGTCTCTGTGCCTGCATCCTCTGCGGCCTCTGTTGTCATCTTTATCCAGTGCTTGCCTCTCTTTGCAGTCCTGCTCTGTCAGATGGGGCAAGGCACAGATGACTGTGGAACATTTAAGTATTATTGTAGACCACGCACTCCAAAGAGGTCAGCTTTCCACATCTGTCTCCGTGCTCCACCGCATGCTCCATGCAGATAGGATCACGAGATCATGCCTGTTTGTCTGCATAGCACCTGTGCCTATAAGAATGCCAGGGACGCTGTGCTCACTCAACGCACACTTGGAGGATTTGTGAGCTTAGAATGAAGTGTGGATCTGGGGCAAAGGAAAGGGTTTTTGGCTACTTCAGCAAGTCTGAAATTGTTCCGGTGACAAAGCCTGTATCATCACAATGGCTCAGTCTTATGGCACCACTTGGGACCTGGGCCAGAAGAACCCTCATCCGAGGCTGGAAGATCGTGTGCCATAGTGAGTGTCTCTCGGGAAGGAAAGCAAAGGAGTCCAGCACCTCAATATACAATGCTTGGTTTAATTCTAGGGCACAGTTGGGCTGCTAACACTTGGCTTCTCATAGCAGTTGAAAGGCTGTTAGGAGTTCCTGAGAAAAAGCCATACTTCAGAGGACAGGGAAATTCCACCACCTGGGGTCTGAAAGTTTTCTATGCACACCTGGACTGTTCTTCTTCAATAAGTGGTATTAGGGGGATGTATCACCTCTTTCTCTTTGGTCCCGTCTCAGGGGCAGATGCTGATCCCTACACATATCTGTAGAATTATGAACTTTAACTAATGCTATTTCTGATTCAAAAATGACCAAGCAGAAAATAATGTAGATTTTTTTTCTGCCATGACTGAAAACTTTGTGCTTTACCTTTAAACTAAAGGAAATTCTTTTTTTTAAAAAAAAATATCTGTAGACATAAAATGCATTCAAGGGTAGAGCCTTTAGATTAATTGCTGCCTGAGGCTGAATTTTTTCTGAGTGAGCATGGTACCCTACATAGCTGAATTTGTTCCTAATAAGTTGGTGCGACTTTAGGCCTCTAGGTGTGGTATTGTTAAATTGCATTAAATCACTTTCTTTTTTGAATGTTTGCTGGGACAAGAGCATCTATCTGTAAGATGGGAACACAAGATCTATATAAAGATTGGAATTTTTTTATACATAAAATTTATTTTATTGTTTCCCTTTTTTATTAGTAGTATATATCTGCAATTCATAAAGATCTGAATTTCTGTTGCCAAAAGTTTTACTTTGAGGGTCTTCCAGCACTGTTCAAATGGTGTCTTTTACCCCAGGGCCAGACTCGGATAATATGCGTGTGAAGACTACTGCACCTTATGCAAAGCAACCCAACCTCCAATGTGTGCATCTTGAATGCCAAGTATCCATCAAGCGTTTTTCTGGACAATTTCACATGAACCATCTCCATCTCTCACCACTGTGGCCTTGTGAGGGAACTATGAAGGTACCAACCATACACATTGAGGATTGAACACTAAGGCTCTTCAGCCAAATCCAGCTGCCCACCTGCTTCCTAAGTCCGATTCCACAGAGGCTTGGCCTACTCGTGTGGCAGCACATTGTCTAGGCCAGTGGTGGTGAGCCCATGACATGGTTACCCCAGTGGGGTGTTTGTTATCACTGTAAGCTCTCAAAGGTTTGCCATTACTGAAGGCTGCTCTGAAGTTACAGTGGACAGAGGCCATGTGGCTAGAAAGCCTAAAATACTGGCTTTTAAAGGGACATTGGTAGCCCCCATGTAGACAGCAAATCTGAGGTTCAGAGAAGTGACACATTCTCACATGTGTGGTCATTCTGCATCTTAGGGACTACACTGTCTACATTTGAGTCTTACTTCACCCCCCTAGGTAGACACAGATGTCCACATTTGTTCTTAAGTCACTGTTTCCTGCCCCTGACATATGGAGGTGCTTGATCTATGTCCTGTCCCCACCCAGTGCTAGTGAGATGTGACCCTGGAGGCCTATCTGTTGGAACGGGTGAAAAGGGCTCAGGGACAGGACAGTGCTGAGCTGGTGGGATATAGGCTGAGAGAGGTTGACCAGATAATCCTCCTGGGAGCAGGTCTGCACAACATCACTTTCTTTCTGTTCTTGCCTCTGGATCAAGGGAGACTTTGGAGTAAGCACAAGCCATCATAATTCAGCAGGTGTGATCAGGGCAGGACACACAGGCTCTCCTGTCCCTCATAGCTTCCTAGCTGTTTGCCTACCGGCAGTGCTGAAGGGAAATCACTGTGGCCGATGAAGGTGGCAGAGGGGATCTTCGCTCTCTGCTGTTAAGATATGCTCGCAGGCCACCTCTGTCTGAGCCCCTACACAGAGCAGCACCCCCAGGCTGCATCTTGAAGCTGCCCAGCAGTCGCTCCTGCCTCTGCACCTGCTGTGCAGAAGGGAAACTTTACTCTGGGCCAAGGCTGCTTTACACTGACTGCGTTCAGAATAAAATGGGTCACTTTGCCTTTTTTCTTTTTTGTTTCCCCCAGAGGTAGAAGTCATTTTACACTGGTATTTGAGAAGCATTTATTAAAAAAAAAAAAGAGTTGGGACACACACATACACGTGAATGAGGAAAACTGGGGAAATCTGAATATGACAAGTAATATATTATCATGCAAGATTTTACTACTGGAGGAAAGTGGGAAAAAGAGTCCCCATGACCTCTTTCTGTTGTTACAACTGCATGTGGACCTGGGATTACAATGGCCTCATAATAAAAACTTCATTTAAAAACTAAGCTGTTACTGACTTTGTGTTTCCAGGCATTGCATTGTTTGTTAAGGTCAATGTGAGGGTAAACAAGTTTGGACAAGGCATGAGTAGGGTCTCTACAGAAGGAGCCCGGATGTACGGACTGTAAGCTTGGTTTCTTTTTAAAATGAGGAGAATTGTAAATCTCTGGGGAGCTGTAATCCCGTGGGCCTTTTGCCCGCAGTTGTGTTTTTGAGTGCATGTGCACGGCTGTGTACGCATGTGTGCTGGTGGATTTGTGTGTGTGTGTGTGTGTGTGTGTGTGTGTGTACACATATGTGTGCCTGTGTGGATGCACACTCAGACTCTCAGAGAGGCATCATCAGGAAAGTCCTCCTCAACAACCTTTGCAGTAAGAGCAAAACCAGAGCCCACAGTATACTGAAGGTCCAAGTGTCTCATTGTCCCCCAGACCCAATGAAGCAGGTCTGCTTCTGATATTCACTTAAGATTTTATTTGGAGAAAGATTTCCTTTGCTTTAAAAACAATTTTAAAGCTACTGGTGTATTAGAAAGAAAGCAGAAGATTTGATTTGGGGGACAGAGGAGCCGGCTTGAGCTCCTCATGTGGGAGGTACCAGTTGCATGATCTTCTGAGCTGAGCTGAGCTGAGCTGATGTTCAGTTTGCTGCCTGCAAGCTGGTCTGGGGTTCGAAGGGTCATAATTGATTCCGCCTCACTTGTGTGCCCTGTGGACTTGGTACCCATCCTGGCTCTGGGGTCAGGGGTGACTTGTGGGATTTTGGCTTGGGACAAACTGCTGGTATCTGTAGGGGTGGGGGGGACTCATCTCTCCATTTCCCCAGTTCTGGCCCTGAGCTCCCTGCCCTTGCACAGACAGAGCAACCGCATGACACAGCATGGCCCAGCCCCTCTGTCCTCTCTGTGCCACCAAGGAAGAAATGCTGACAAGTGGGGGAAAAATAACACTTCACAAAACTTTCCCTAGTCTTGGGGAATTTACTTTGAAATTTGTGCCGGATAAAGTAATTAGTAAACTTGTTCTTAATCGTGTTGCAAAGATGTAATTTTTTCACACCTTCCCTGACTTTGACACTGCGGCTTTTGAAACTTCATTTTACACTGTGCCTCATTGTTCTTTAATCTGCTGCACTCTGCATTGAGTATCGCGAAAATTTCGCACTTACTATGTCAATAACATCTGGCAAAATTGCCACCTATTAAGAGTAAGTGTTCTTTTTTCGCCGGTGAGAAATGTGATGGTGTATTATATTGGTTTCCCTTGAGAGGCTAAGGAGACAATTTTAAAGCAGACAAATGCATTAAAGAAATAACTTGAACTCTAAGAAAAGGTTACAGAAAGTCAGAAACTTTTCCCTCCCCTCATTCTTGGTTTATTTATTTAGGGGTGGGGGAGGGGAGGGAGGCAGCAGCTTTGTGAGCTGAGGGTGGGATTTTGTCACATGGAGCCCCTCTGGGATGGAAAGGGCAACTTCCACTCTGTGTTGCGGAGTAAATGTCCCCGCCCAGCTGTATACCATCTAGGAACCCATCCTCACCAAAGCGCCTTGTAGGAAGGTCCAGCTGAGGGCCCAGACGCTGCTGGCCATGGTAGAACCAGCGATGAGCAGGCTCACGGATCCGCTGCTGCATGCTACTTGGCAAACACTGGCGGCGGCCTCTGCCTCTCCCTCTGGATGATGAGTTCATCAGCTGCTTGCAGGGCTAGGCTGAGGCTCAGAGGTGTTGGTCAGGGGCCCGGGACCCAGTGTGCCCACCTGGAAGTGGCATCCAGTCCCATGAGCTCTGCCGGCATCATTATGGCTCTGCAGGTGCCTGGTGATCAGGTCAGTTTCTTCCTAAAAGCTCGTCCCTGGGATGCAGGCACCTGTGATCCATGAATTCAAACCCCCAAATCACTCATGAGCATGGCCCGGTGTGGAGCAGGAAGGAAGGACACTGTCACAACTCTGCAGACCTCCAGCTCATGGCCCCAGCAGGAGCACCTTGAAGGCAGGCCTGTCTCCTTCCCTGTCAGTTGCTCCTGTGCAGTGTAGAGAGTGAAGAAGGGTGTCTTTCTAAAGAACCAGCATTCAGGTGGCAGTGCTCCTAGCAACCAAGTGACATCACTGGCCTGGCAACTTCCTGAGTCCAAGGGTCAGGTGGTCTTGATTAGACCCTTCTCCCAGCATGCCCTGGGGCAGAGGCGGGTCATTGCTGACCTGTTGGTGACAAGGGCTGAGAGATACTGAGCCCTGGGTGTATTCAAGTCCCCTTCTATGGAGCAAGTAAGTGCTCCTTTTGTCTCCATCCCACAGACAGGGAAATGGAACTGCAGAACAGTCAGGATGCACGATAGAGTTCTTACTCATCATTGTCAGGACAGAGTGCACACACCCTGGCCTGGTGCTCAAGGCCCTCACCTGGTCCCTTCTGCTTCTGGTTTGTTTCTCCACCCTGTGCCCCACACAGATCCACAAACCAAGCAGCTTGGATATTCCTTACCCAGTTGCTTGGCTTCATATAGACGACGTCCTTGGCCTGGATCCCTGGGACTGCTGTGTGGCTCCTTCATCCACCCATCCGGTCATTATTTTCTTCAGCGAAGCCAGGGAGGACCATGCTGAAGAACAGAGAGGTGTCTTTTGGCCTCTGTACCCCCAGCACCCTCATTTCTACAGTTAGCTTTGGGGGAAGATTCAATTCAATAACACACCAAAACTTCCTGGAGGGTCCCGGTGCACAGGAAGTCGAAAGTCACATGTTGGCTGCCTGTGGCCTACAAGATGCACCATAGATGTGTATAGTTGAATGGTTAGGAAATATCTAAGCCTCTGAATTGGTTGCCGACACACAAGCTGGGAGATCTTACAAGACAAACCTAGATTTTGGATTTCTTTCTTT